TTTTGTTTATGTCTTGAGGTAGTTTGGGTGAGTTTTAAAGGATCATTGTCATTGGTTCAAACAATAAAAATGGCTTCATGATTTCAACTAGTACCTATCCTATCTTTAATGGTTTAATATGGTATCTGCTAACATAGGGGGAATAAAATTGATTATCAGTATCATTCTTTGTGAATGAAATTTTCTTTTTGACCAGATTTTCCATTTTTTTTTTGTCTTATCTTTGTTTGATGTGAGTAAAGGATTTACTTATTTTGACACTCTTGTAGCAAGAAGTCGTGTTGAAGAAAACACTCCCAATTTTTCTGAAAAATATAACTTCCAAGTCTGAACATTTAGCAAAATTACTTCTACTAACAGGAGGAGAGAGATGCAATTTTGGCCAAGATTGATGTTTCACAAGCACATTTAGAATTATTGAAGCGAACAAATGTGCTCAATGATGCCTTCCCCATTTCTCATGATGGAGAGTTTGGAACAATTAACAACTTTCGACTTGGAAGACTCCCGAAAATTCCAGTAAGATACCTAGCATGTTGTATTTCTGATTTTTAATGTTGTGTCAATGTGTTGGTGAGCTTAATATGCGTAGTTGGGTTTCATCTATGGTAGTTTATGCCTCTATTGAAGTTCAACACATTAGGGGAATTGCAAATTAGTGAGTTAAGCATAGTTTGTTTGTTATCAGATTAAACTTTGGAGACAATTTGGTAATTGAACAATTTATACTTTTGCATCTATACCCACATATTCACATTTACAAGCATTGACTTAGGTAAATTGTGACCTAAAGTGCTGCTGTGAGCGTTCCAAACTTGGGCATAATAGTACTAACAAGAAAGCACAATAACATGTGTTGACCATAAAATGACTATGAAATCCTCCCATGGCTACCAGTTGTAGACTGACTGAAAGTGGAGACAAGACAAGGTCCACCCAGTTGCAAAAACAGAGAAGACATAGATGCAAGCTAGAATGTAGAAGATGAAAACCTAACCTAATTCCCTGGTTCTAAAAAACATATTTTTAGTGTTATTTAGTCATTCATACATACATAAAAATATATGATAGAAAAAAGTGATATTATGCACCATGGTTAATTTTCTAAAATGGAATTATGTGCTTATTCATTTTTTTTTACCAGTTGATAATATAGTTTAAAGTTCATGTATATAGCAATCCAATTCTAAATTACATTTGATCCTAAATATCTATCTGATCTCGTTAACCCCTATATTTGTGTACTGGAAAATGATCCTTGTGACTTTGATTTAATTCAACTTCACAAAGCCTAAGTTTGGTCCCAGAAGAAAAATTGTATTAACATAATGTAACAAATTATGTATAAATGTACCCACACGTGACACTTACAGTCAAGTCTGCCGATTATATTTATGGATGTAAACCTATAAATATAAATATATGCTATTTGAGACGTCTAACTTGGAGAAGAATTTAATACAATATGATTGTTATTGAAGATGATGGTACATTATTACTTTCATTATCAAGAATTTCTGGGTCTAAAGTGCTGTAATGGGGGTTGGTAAACTTATACTGTAGCTACTTTTATAATTTTATTTTAAAAAATTATTTTGCAACAAAATATTAAATCTGTTTGGCTACTTGTGTCTTGAAGTGCTTTTTGCACAGGACAATTATCATGGATACGGATAACTAATCGATGGTGCAATTCTTCCAACTTTGTGGTGCATGCACTCTTGTTTTACAATGTTCTTTCAGAAAATAAAATACTTTAGCTGAATGTATCCTTTCCTCATTTGATGATTTGGAAAAGATGTATATATATATATATATATATATATTTTGCTGGAGAATTTTCTTAATCTTGAATCCTTTTTCTTTCTATTTAAGATTTTGATTATGTTATTTACTATTATGAAATGTTTAGGTTGAATGGGATGAGATAAATGCTGCCTGGGGTCAAGCTTGCCTTCTTCTTCATACTATGTGCCAGTATTTCCGACCGAAGTTTCAGTATCCTTTCTCATTATGCATCAGATAGATACAGTTACTGTTTTTAATTCTCTATTATGTCTCCATGTATAATTGTGTGTGTTAATGAATATAGTTCCAAACAGGATTTTACATTAAAAAAAACAATTGAAATGATCTACTAATTACAGGGTTTTTTCTTAAGTTCTTCTAAGTGATATATTCCAGAGCAGAACATGACAAGGGATGGTTTTAAGATGATGCATGCTGTTCTCTTCATAGGCATACATAGTTACTTGTTAAAATCTTGTATGGAATTCAAACCAAAGTTTGTTAAGTGTTGCCTCTTCTGCTGCATTAAACTACAACGCCAATATAGTCTAGTTTGAATTTATGATTTAATAGATCATGTCTAGATTCTAGAAGATATATCGTATTGACATTTGTGCCATGAACCAACATTTTCATATAAATTTTACATTTTCCATATAATTTATTGGGAATGACTTGTAACATATCCTTTGAGCCCAATAGCGTTGTATACTATGATGTTTGTAGCCAACCTCAGCTAGTTTGACAAGACTTTTGTTGTTGTTGTTGTTGATTTGCAACTCCTAAACTTGTTACTTTTAGATATCGAATAAAGATAATTCCAATGGGTAGCTACCCTCGTATCACAGACACCAATAACAGCACATATGAGCTGTAAGTATGCTTCATGGTGCTTGTAGTCATTTGTGTCTTTGTGGATTTTGACTATTTTTGTTATATATATAATTTGATGCTGGCTGAAGTTGAGCCAAAATCATTGGTGTAATGTGTGAAGTGAAATCAGAGCTACCAGCTTATTTGCTGATAGCAATTAGAAATTGTCTGCGTTTTAGTTTTGTTACTTCTGTTTATTTAAACATCAGGATAAGCCTTGGTCCCTTGGAGCTATATCGGTATTTTTATACTATTTTGGATCATACCACTGCCTTTGGCAGTTGGCTTGGTTTGTGTATGTCTTATCCTGAGATTATGGTTGGTGTTGTGAGTTATACTCTTGTAAAAACTTTAAAGTAAAATAATTTAATAAACTTTATCCATATAGCAATGGGTTTTTCAGGTTTGGTCCTGTGAATTTGTTCTGGAGTACTCGCTATGACAAAGCAATGACATTGTTTTTAGCATGCCTCAAGGATTTTGCAGACTTTGCCAAATCTAAGGATCAAGAGAATAACATACCACCTGAGAAATGTTTCAAACTGCCTTACAAGTAAGTGTTACTATAAGTTATTTATTTATGGCAGTGTGTTTTATCTTTGGGTGCAGTGTGAGCATTTATTTGCATTGGATACAGAGGAATTTTGCTTTGGTGCCATCAAGCTCAACTCTTTTTGTGTTAAGCAGATCATGTCCTTTTGCTAATTGATGGAGGAGAGAAAAGGATGATTGTTTTGTGTGGTTTTACATAAGTTTGTCTATAAGAGTACTTTGACTGCGGTCATGACTTGACTTATGATCTTGATGAGAATGTTGTGTACTTAGTTATGGCTTAATTGAATTTATAGTGCCTTTGAACTAAACTGATGAGATTCGCAACCCTCCCATTCCCTCACAGATGACAGAAACAATAATGAAGCCTTCCAAGTGTCCATTATTTTGTTCTGGTCCTTATGCAGGCTAGATTCCTGACCCTGCCATTCCCAATCTCTTTCTCAAACACATCCAAAATATCAAATGGCATGTAGAATGGTGATGATCCAAGCTTTACTATGCTTTGTTTAGAATTGAGTTAGCATTCATTAACGGTTATTTTATTAGAATGTGTAGCAAATATCTCACCATCATTATTGTACCAACAGCAGTGATCTACTCTTTTCCCATTTGGTGGGTTGGCTACATGAATCAAACAACCTCATAATGCTCTTTGATAAATCATGTCTATAGACAAACTATTAATGTTTAAATTCTTAATAGTTTCACCAATAGTTTTTCCTGTTATCCCCCTGTCTAACTATTGGGCTACCCTCTGTTTATTTAATTTACTCTTTGTGTTGGAGGTTCTATAGTAAAGAGAGAGATTAAAGATTGCAATTGCAGAGAATCAATTTGGATTTATGCTTGGAAGGTCTATACTAATAGCTATTTATATCTTTGATGGGGATCGATGGAAAGGTATTGAAGCGAATAAAGGGACTTGTATATGTTTTTATAGACATGAAAGATGTATATGATTGAGATTGAGTGCTAGGAAGTGTTGTGGAAGGCTTTGGAAAAGAAAGGTGTTCTCATATCTCACATCTCTTTTCCACCTCTACTAGATGTTAATTTCAACATTTTAATGGTGTTTTTCATGAGTTCAAAGTTGGCTTTATAACTAAAGAAATCCCTGAATAGGTAAACAGTTACTTCTATTTACAAAACTATATGCCTTAATGAACTTCGTGGTATGATGGATTTGGTTGAATTAGTACACCTTTATTCTTGTATTGTTTATCATATTAGGCGTGCTTGCTAATTTATCAAGATAGATACAGTATTTTGTGAAGATCATAAATAAACTCTGTTCAATTCATGCGTTAGATTTATCATTGAGAATGACAAATATTCTTCGTTGATATGTAGGATTGAGAGTGACAAAGTGGAAAACTATTCCATCACTCAAAGCTTCAATAAGCAGGAAAATTGGACCAAATCTCTCAAGTACACTCTTTGCAATTTGAAATGGGCTCTCTACTGGTTTGTTGGAAACACGAATTTCCAGCCTCTTTCAGCAATGGTATCTTCGCATGCTGAAGTACCAGCTGTAGGGTCTTTGTACACGAAGCGTGGTTCTGATGCCAAATCTGAATCTCGAAACTGAACCCACTAAACATATGCTAGGATTTAGGCTACGTACAAATATGTACATAGAAAACTACATAGTCTATAGAAGCTATACAAATGTTTGCATCACAAATTTTGTGAGCATTTTTCGATTTTAATAACATGCTATTTTGATCAAGGCTTAATTACGTAGTGTCTGGGTACTTGTCCCAAATACGGTACATTTTGTACATAACTATGTTCTTGGAAATTGCCATATTGTCGAATGATCGGTAGATTTTTGAATATATGCTCTTTTCACTCCCCAAAGAAAATACAATTTTCTCTTTCATCAATTTTTATTTATTTATTCATTTTTATCATATTCTTGGCATAAACATTTGTACTTTTCTCTTGGTGGGCGAGGGCTGCCCTTTTCTTCTAGTCAAGGGTTCTCCTGGTTTTGCTTGCGTAAGTGACAAAATTATCCATTTATAAATCAAATTCAGTATATTATTGTTCATAATACTATTTAAATCTTTAACTGTCAAGGGAGTCATAACTAGTGAGTGATAGTTATCAAAGAATTCCAATTAGAAAAGAGTAAAATAGATAATAAAAAGTTAGTACAAGAGTTATTAGATAGTACTAGATATATTTCAATGATACGTATCCACTTATAGCTAAGCATTAAAGCTGGCACAACCTCAACCTATTGGTATTGATTCGTCAACTGCAGGACAAATGAAATCAAGTAATTAACAAAGCATGCAATCCATGGTTATCCCAAAAAAAAAAACATTGCATGCAATCAGTCAAGTTTTAAAAAACGGTCCACAACTATGAAACTTTTAGGAAAAAGAGAATTCACTATGAAACTTTTAAATATAAATTGAGAAATAAATATAATAATAAACAAAATGGAGTGGCTAATTGTCAAAGCCAAAATGTCCCTTTCCAAAAGTGAGAGTTCCAATAAACTAGATCAGCTAAACAAATTCCATTCACCAATTGTTTCTCTCAATTCGTAAAACTTAAGCTCGAAAACAACTTTGTTAGGAAAATAGAATAAGTCTTAGAGTCGACGGATTCCTCTTCATATATTTTTAGCAATGTTGTAACCTTAGAAGGTCCATTGCTTGATGTTTTTCCTTTGAGATCTTCAAATCTCTTTGATAGTGTTTGATAGATAATTCTTGAATTTTTCATTTTCATTTACAATAATTTTATATTTTTTCTTTAATTTTTTTTGTACTCAAGAGTGATCATATGAGAGCTTTTCAAAAGAGTTTCATAGGATATCTCTTACTCATCACAACTATAGCCCGACTCATCCAAAAAACTAGAATGACAAATAAAATTAAAATCCACCTCTATCCTAGTTTTGTCTATATTAGTCATAAAATAGATATCGACTCTTTCATAGTCTAAACTATGACTTTTACTACTATCCATATCATCCTAGGTAGCCATCACACTTTTTGTTTGGCCTTTTTTTTACTATACCATCTTTTTCTAAGAAAAGACACTCAATTTTCATGTGCCCAAGTTTGTTACATTCATAGCAAATGATTTCTTGATTTTCTTCCTTGAAAGGCTTCTTGAACATATTATTCTTCTCATGGAAGCTTTTGCGTCTTCCCTTCATTTTCAGCGTTTCTTAAACTTCTTAGACATTAAAAAATTCTCATCGTGTGTCGAGGCTTCAAAACTCTCTCATAAGCTACTATGTTGAGACTTTACCTTAAGATTTTTCCTTTTGTCCTTCCTTCACCTTATTTCTCTAGTTCTTAGAGTGACAATATCATCTGGCTTTATATGATCTCTATAGTTCATATGAACTTTATGAACTCTCAAAGCTCCTAAGAGTTCATCCAGTGTTAGAGTCTTAAAGTTATGTGCCTCTGAGATGATAATGGCCTTAGGCTCCTAGAGTTTTGGAAGGCTTTTTAGGATCTTCAAGTTGTTATGAGATTTGGAGAACTTAGAGCCTAGGTATTTTAGCCCATTGAGAATGATTTGAAATCTTCTAAGCATCTCATCATTGGTTCCATTCTCCATCATATAGAATAACTCATAATGTCTTTGAAAAGTTGCAACTCTTTTGAGCCTTACATCTTCAGTTCCTTCATGAGTTACTTTGATGACTTTCCACATCTCCTTTGTAGTCCTTCAACTCCAAAACGTATTGTATTTTGTCCTTGACAATGGGAGGATTAACATGTACCTTACTTTTGTATTGAGTTTCAAAATGTTGTAGTCTTCCTACATATATCCACTTTTTGGTTTGGTTATCAGAATATCACTGTTTATGATGATCTTCTAGAGATGATATTGGATGGACTTATTGAACATATATATTTTGTCTTTCTATTATATGTAGCCTTCTCCATTGAAGGTGGGAGGCCTTGCAATAGAAGCTCTTTTGGGCAGATACTATTGTTCATTGCTTCCCATCTAAGGATCTTTTCCTTTAACACAATTAGATGTTTAACCCTGTCAAAGGCTAAGCTTTAATACCCATCTCTAGAGAAAAAAAAAACACAGTAGAAGGGGAGGGAGTTGATTAGTGCCTATCAAAATTTTAACACTTTTTTGAAACAAAGAAGTAGTAACATAAGCCTAAAAGAGTGTAGATAAAGTAAATTAAAGTACACAAGGTATTTTTATATTGGTTTACCTCAACCACCGGGATATGTCCAGTTCTTGATTAACTTAATAAAGTTTTACTATCTTTTACAAAGATACAAGTATTCCTTCATAAGCCATTTTTGGTTCAACCTAAGTATTCTTTAATTTACCTCTTCAAGAAAACTATCCAAGTATTCTTTGATCAACAAAGTCTCTCTAAGCTTTAATACCAAGTATTCTTTAAACACAAAGTTTCTCCAAGCTTCAAGATAAACACTTAATTTAAGCTGGGTAAAGATAATAGAAACTCTTGTCTTACTCATAAGACATGATTTCACATTTAAGTACAAAGCATTACAAAGAGTAAAGAAAGAATATCAAAGCTCCTTTTTATTTCGTTGTGAGATTCAAGATTCTATATATATTTATGCATTAAAGGCTTGCATTAAATATGTTTCACCAAATGATTACATTTTATCTGATTAAGGAGACTACTTATCACCTTTATGTTACAAAAGAAAATGAACTATTGTGTATCAATCAAGAATAACTTTTAGATAACTTCACATACTTCGAGATATCTACTTGTCCTTTTGATGACGAAAAGTAAATCCATGTTTCTTTATGAATTGAAAATACCAAAAATATTTTTATTCCTTTGATTTGTTAAGGAATTAAAGTAGATGATACAAACATCAAACATATTAAAATAACATTTTTAGCATTCGTTTTAGATAGATAAATTATTCCATCTAAGAAGATATAATGTATTTCATCGTTTAAAGGCATTAAATTTTTTTTCTTAGACATGTAACCTTATACATGTCTTTTAAAAAAAAAACAAAAAAAACCTGAGTTTGTTAAGATGAAACTTCATTTTTTTGAGGATTATTATATCATATTTTGATCTAACAGGAGGAGAAGTAGTGGAAAAGTGAATCGTAAAACTCTCTTTTATACACCAACTCTCTCGATATACACACATTTCCTCAATTACTTAACTAAAATAACTAACAAACTTCAATCAACATAACTAATTTCTACTAACAGGAAAAATATTAATTAATTATTTATTTTGTTTTGTAATTAGTGAAAAAAATAAACGAATATATGGAAGTGTGTAATCGAGAGTCCCATGCATAGAGAATCTCATCTCTTTGTGTATGCACCTTCTCTTTTTAATAGATTTATGTTCCATTTTTAAAATTTTTTAATTCTTTAAATACTATTTTAATTTATTTTTTTAAAAATAATTTTTATTTAAAATAAAATATTTTTTCATTTTTTTTTTTTTTTTTTTTTTAATCCTTCCATGAAAGCTGTAAAAATGAGAGAGGATCCATAAATTGAATGCCTGAATGAAAAATGTGTTCAGATGATTGAAATAAGCCAAAATTCAAATAATATCGAAATATTTAATGTTCTAGTTTTTATTCATATGAAAAATTTAATTTGACATATCTCTTTCGAATTTTTTTTTTGTGTCAAAACAAATGATAAATGAATTTTTTGTGGTTTTAAATTTATTATTCTTAAAATTTCTATTTTATCTTATTTTTGTAAATACTTTTATTATATAATTGGACAAGATTAGGTTTCCACAAGAGAATATTCTATCACAAAAGGTCCCTAATTGTTGATAGAGGTTGAGTGTTGTTTTATGTTAGTTCATAATAGCATCATTTTAGAATGCATGGAATTGGCAGGGGAGGAAGAGTTGCTAGTTGGAGATGTTGCATATATCAACTGATTTTACAACTTGATTCTTTTAGAATGAGAATTAATCGATAATTTAGTATAACTATATTATATATAAAAGGAAAGATCTATTCATTATAAAAATAAGTTTATTTATATTTATTTTATTTAGTAATTTACATTCTATATATTAAATATTAACGATTTAATCATTAAATTAAAAGTTCTTAATATATATATATAT